ATATTATGATGAAGTTTCCACAAAACTGCACTCACTTTAGGAACTGCTATGTACAGTTATTTCATAGTTTGGGAAACATAAAGAAAGCAACATCTTACATTGTCCTCTTGAATCTCTTCTTCATCTCTTCATCTCTGCGTTTTTTTATATCGATGTTGATCTTGTCACACCTCTCTAAACACCAGCATCAGCAGGAACCATGTTAACTAGTACTGGTATCCTCAAGTATGATCTCAGAATTTTAATGCACTTTTTAATGCTAGCAATTGTTTTAGAACCTTGAAAGGATGTACCTAACTTGTTATTCTTTCCTTGTCATATATTGGCAAAAGCAAATACATTACTACACAAAGTATTACCAGAAAGAAATAATAACTCTGAGGCAGACATATGTCCATCCTAAGAAAACCAAATCTGGTTTTCCACTCAGCTGCTCAGCTGCTGGCAGTGCTCTTCAGCATATTTGGCAGTATAGACACACTAGATATGAGAACTGTTTCTCTTCTGTAAAAATGGTTTTGGTAGAAAAACCCTACATAAATCACTCGGAATGTGTAACATTCCAAGCTTCTTTTGTGATTCCTTTTCCATGAATCCAGGTGTATTGAGTCATTGTTCTCACTGGCACTTGCTTCCTGGTATCTCAGCTGCCTTTGAGTCAGTGCCAGTGGAGAACTTTCTTTTCGGTCCTAACATAGGGAGGACAATAGAACTCGAGTCTCATTTCAAGTACCAGAAATGTCTGGAATAATAAAGGACACAGGTGTTATTAGAGTGAGCCTGGAGTGGATGTACTCAGACCATTTGCTAAGGAGGGCTTTATTGGTTCCTCACATATCTGCAACGTACACAGAATTGTGTGTATGTGTATTTGTGTAAGTGCTGGGGGAATGGGACCAGAGCCTTTACTGAATTATCAAAAGAATTATAAGACCCAGATAGTTAAGAAGCACTGGAAAGATTAATCACAAAATAATTTTAAACTTCTCTGATAGCTCTGACCTAATGTTTTCATAATGCTTTCTTGTGCTCTGTTATACTTCAAAGAGCAGTATGGTGACATGGACAGAATATCTGGCATTTAGGTGATGACTCTAAATCTCAGTGTCCTCAATGTAAAATGATCCTACAGTGGAAGGAATAAATCGGATACCATAGATGACAGTCCCTTGCAGAATGGCTTGAACTAGAAAAGGGTTCATGTATATGACACTATCCTTACTTACTCTTTTTCAACAGAATGTAAGCATATTGAAGGCAGGACAATATCTTCTTTAGAGTTTTTTTGTTGTTAACCTTACCATGCTTTTAAATATGCATAGGCCAATTTCCATTTAATGCATGCAAGTTTACAATAACTTTTGTTAACTATAACTATCTGAATGTACTTTCCTATTTTATTATTATATAAGGAAATTAAATAATGAAGCTGGAACTTACACATATATCCAAAGCCTAACTTGGCTACTGGACAAAGTAGGTAGACATGTACCTTGGGAAATGATAATCAACTTCTTCACGAAAATCAAACTTCCGAGTATCAACTATGCATATACATAGCCAGGCACTGTACTATGAGTTGTAGGCAATAAAAAGTTGTCAATCCTGTTCTCCAAAGTTATTTCAGAAGAGGGAAGCATGTTCACACAAAAACATAGATCAAGATAGAAAGTTCCATAGGAATTCAAAAAAGAGAAAAAACAGGGAAGGTGTGTATGGGGAAGGCTTCAAGAAAGAGGTAGTATGTGATGTGAGCAAGGCTTCAACATGCAGCAGGGTGAGGGAAAGAACAAATGGAAACTACAGACATGACCTCATGTGGCACAAATTGGAAATAACGACCACTTGGTTTAGACTGGTCCTGGGGGACTTAATGGGATTAGTGATAAACTAGATAAAGAAGTTATCACAGTGCCTGATACATCAGACTTATTTATAACTTTTAAAAACAAGTATTTAAAAAGTAACATAAAAGTTACAAATATAGACAAGGTGAAGTATTAGAGAAATTTGGAAATAAAAAGGTTACTTGACAGCTTTCAAAATGGTACTTTTTATACCCATTTTCAGTAGAGGCACTGGTTGAAAAGAAATGACATTTCTTCTTCAGCCTTATTATTCCTATTTTTATTTTCTCTCCATTTTTCAAAATCTCAAGATAAGACATTTTGATTTTAGCTTATGGTGGTCATGCAGCACAAAAGAATGGCCTTGTTATGACAGGGAACTTTGGTTCCAAAATCTATACTTTCTAAGTTACTGATAACGCTGACCATCACCAGGCTGAATATTTATGTGGTTATAAAAGCAGTAGATTGACTTCAGTTCCATCGCATCAAACCTACAAAAGGACCTCAGTTCACTTAGCATTTAATAGTGCACATCATCCTATTTTCATTTCTCCATTTTTGAACACCAGGCAATTAATTTCTCCTTTGCCTAGGAGATGGTTAAAGCAAAGGAAATAAAGTTATAAATCAGTTTCTCTCATGAAATCATTCATAGATTTCTTTTTAGGGCTCTAAATTTAGAAACATTCCAAAGAAATTGTTTAAATATAACAAAGTCCAAATTCAGTAATCTTTTAAATTTAATTATCTTCCTTAGTTGCACTGAATTTAAAAACTTAGATTTTCTGTTTTTCTTTCTTCCTGAAAAGGTTTATCCAAGCCATAACTTGTATAGTCCATAATTTAGTAGATTCATCTCACCTGTAAAATCACCAAAACTGATGGCAGCTTAGGAAGCACCAGTCCACTAATCTTGATCTATTTCTTGCCAAAGGCCTCAGTTTCTTTGGAAACAAAGTAATAGACACTTTCATTTCCTAACCATTATTAGAATATTCTCCTGCACTCTTCTTCACCAGAAGGATGCCTCTTAAAATTACAGAAATTTGTATTGTACTTAAGATCAATAGCACTAATTTGTATTTCATATACCTTGGGCTAATTTATTCAAAGTGAATTATTGCACTGATACTTGTTACCATTTAATATTTAGAATAATTATTTATATAGTTAAATATTTTAAGATTAGGAAAGAAAGGAGATAGAATAAAGGGTTTTGTTGTTCTTGTTCTTTGTTCCCTGTACTAGTTGATGTGCCTGAGTCAAAATTCTAGAATCTTATAAATTTTATATTTCAAACCCAAACCACATTCAACACATAACAACAGTGGCAACAACGAGGCCAAAATGAAATGGACCCTGAGGTGTTCATGATCTCAGGGAACAGTTCTGGAGGGGCTCCTTGGCATGGGATTTCTCCAGCCCCTCCACTCACTCTGCCTCATCTACTGAAGGTGGAGACAAAGAAACCAACCCAACTCTTTCTAAAATGTATTTTACAAAAAGGGAATGTGTAATTAGAAAAGCAATAATAATATATAATGGAAATGATGGTTTTTTAGAACGAGTATCTTTGTCTAAAAGCAATATTTAAAAAGGAAAGTAGGCAGAGGTAAATTTGTAGGTATAAACCCTGCTCCTCTTTTTCACTGATCTTCTGTTTTAATTTGCTAAAGTTAAATTGCATGACTGTCGAGTCAGAATGTCTCTCCAATTTCAAGTTTAGAGATAACAAATCTTTTAAATAGAATATTGGCACACAGACACCCCAGAGTCTGGTTCATTGCAACTGTTGGTGAAGTAGCAGATTTGAATCCCCATCACAGCCATCTTAACCATTTCACAGCATATTAAATAAATGTGCATCCCTAGGTGGCAAAGGGAATAGGCGCTTGGGCTCAGCAGCAGGGCTTTGTGGGGAAACCCTAGGACAAGTAGCCAACATCCCTCAATGAGGAGACTAATTTGAAGCTTGAATAACCTGAGCCTTAGAATGACCGGCTCCACTGACTTTCTGAGTGCCTGTGGGGAAGTCTCTCTAGAAACTCTTTTGAGGTTACTGGAGAATCCTAGGACAAACACACTGCTTGTTTTGGCAGGGAGGACTTGCCCAAACCCGACCCAGCTAGATGTCTCACAATCCAGCTGGACAAAAAAATCCTTCAAGAATAACTGGGTAACATTCACATTTCTATTCCCACCTATGCCTGTGCACTGGGGGCCAGCGATGTAGGATGGCTTCCCCTCTTACCCACCCACAGATTCTGCTGTTTTGGAACCCTTTGTGGTAGCTCAGTGACCACAGTGAAGGGGGTTACTGCAAACCATGTTGGTATTGGGCTAAGAGCAGACTTTCTGATACCATGTATTTGGGGGAGGGACACAGGTAACAGTATAAAGAGAGAATACCCAAATTGGGGTATGGCACTGTCCTTTCTGGACAAAGTCACTCATGGAATAAAGGTAGTGGATAAGAGCTGAGCAGTGTTAGCCTGTGGATGGGTACAATAACCCCCCTTCTCCCCCCACCCCGAATCAATGAGAATGACTGACAGAGAAGATGGTAAATGAAGGAAAAAGTGGAGACAAATGCTACTCAACCAAGCTGAACTGCAGAAGATGAGAGAAGTTTTTTTCACTAATGTGAGACTTCCCAGGGTTTCCTATTGAAGTGGGTGTGGAATATTGAAATCTGCACAAATCCATTCTGATAGCTGGGAAGGGAGAGGCCAGAGTCAGGAAGAAGGAGCGAAAGAGTTCTAATTGCTTCCCCAGGGTGCTGCCAAAAACCTGCTGCTCCCAGTCCGGAAAAGACCTAAGTGAAGGCTGAAAGTAGGAAGGTGAAAGTACAACTCCAATTATTACACATCTGGAACCCTCTTCCATGTCTAAGGAGTCTGGCACAGACATGGACAATTATCTTTAAGCATACAGAGGCTGGAGGCCCTCTTTGTCTGTCCAGTAGTAGTACTAAGGCTCCTCCAATCTCAGGCACTGGGCTGATTAACAATGCAATTCTAATTGTTGCTCCTTTTCCCGTACAGGGTGCCGCAGAGACAGTCCCCTGGTCTGTATCTCAAGACTCCATTATTAGCCCAGCGGAAAGCACCGCGCCGCTTGGCTAAGGCTAATAATAGCAAGGTTGCTTACCTTCTCGGGATCCAGTCAGCGCACGTCCCTGGCGCCCGCAGCCCGGCCGCAGAGCCTCCTCCAGCGCCAGTGTCTGCACGGTCACCGCGGCCCCCACCCCACCTGCCGGCTGCAGCAGCTGCTCCGCTGCCCAGACCCACCGCATGAAGTCATCCTTGCCCAGGGCGGGATCGTCACATTCCGCGCCAACCGCGGGGGGAGAGGGACCTCCCCTGGCCGCAAGGAAGGGCGTCCGGGAACTGCGGCACTCGACTGTTACCCCTCCGCGTCTTAGGTTTATTTTCTATTAATGCTTTTACGGAGGAAGCGTCGCCGGATTGTGGCCCGAGTGAGAAGAGCCAGAATGACTTTCTCTGCAAAGCTCCTTTCCTCCGAGCGCGCCCCTGTCATTCGGGCTGCATGGACAGATCCATTTCTCTGTGTGGGTTTCCCACCCTGTTCATGCTCCTTAACAGTATTGTTCATTTCGCTGAATTCTAGACTGGGGTTGTCTTTTAAACTAAACATTCAAATGATCCAGAATGTTTTAAATTGGTCATCCGTTTCTCTAAACCCCTGGTGGCACGCTCCACCCTCCCACGACACACACGGCCAAAGCGGTCTCAATTGTGAGAGCGCCTACGTCTGAAAGAGAAACTCTCAAAGCCGTGGAGAAGCAGTGTTGAGCAGAGAAAGCACTCCAAGAAACATAGAGCGGACCCCCCAGGATTTGTTTCTGTTTAGTGGGGCACTTAGTGGACAGGTGTTCCCTCTGAATACCCCCTTCTCCTCCCCCCAACCCCCACCACTTGAGCTGGATGCTCTGCTGACAGCTATACATTTGAAAACCAAAAGGCAAAATCCACATTAACAGATGGCTTCATCTCTTTCTTTCCAAAAACATTTACTGGAACTGGCCTTGGGAACAAGATGCGCATACAAGCACAGAAGCCCCTTTCTTGCTTCTTTAAATAGTCACCAGCTATTAACAGGCCTTCTCTCTCTTCTCCTCTCTTCTCTCTCCACGTCCCCCCGCCCCGCCCCCAACGCCACCCCTCCCCCCCGCCCTATCTCTCTCTTTCCTCTGCTGGTCAGATCAGCAGTTAGGGGTTTAAGTGGAGAGGGGAAAACAACCCAGAGATTTGCTGTCCTTACAGCAGAGCCAAGGTGGGTAAAGAGGATCCTTGACGCTAGGGTTCTGGGTGAGTAGATCTCTCATTCAACTTGTCTTCCTTTTGGAATTGGCCCTCACCAGGACCAGCCTTACAATGTGGATTGACCAGCAACCTGAACAGGGCACTCACTGCACACTACCAGGGAAGTCTCTCTATTCAATGAAGTGTTCCATCCCTCAGGTTACCAGTCCCCAAATTGGGAGGTAGTGTAACCAACAGTGTTCCAACAAAACTCAGTAAGAATTCTTGGCCTTAAAATGTATGTTTTTTGAAAGCTAGAACAACCTAATTCATCTGTTTGAGCCCCTCTTTCATAAAATTAGATCATCAATATCAATATTGCTCAGGGGTTTCCTAGATTATATCTAAGGAGTATGTGAGATTTGGGTGCACATATGACATTTTTAGTTTCATTAACCTTAAACTAAAATTTAGCATTTAGCATTTCCTTTAAATATACATGTAAACAACAAACCGCAATAAATTAGGAGTACTTGTGGCTTTGTCGCCAATGGAAACCACAGATTATTTTCTATTGCAGTTTTTATAGATACCTCCAAATGCTGTTACTCTGATGTTTAAGTAAAATCATCAATGCCTTTTTTTGTTTTGTTGAATAAACCATATTTTAGAATATAGTTTTAGAATTTAATACAGAAAAATTAAGGAGATAGTACAAAATTTCCATACATCCATTGCCACTTTCCTCTGTTATTAACATCTTACATTATTAGTGTGTTACCTTTGTTATAATTAATGAACTAGTACTGATACATTAATGTTAACCAAAGTCTGTACTTTATTCAGATTTTATTGGGTTTTACCTAATGTCCTTAATTCGGTTCCAGGCTCCCATCCAGGATACCCCATCGCATTTGTCATGCCTCTTAGATTTCTCTGGATGTGATAGTTTTTCTGACTTTTCTTGTTTTTGATGACCTTGACAGTTTTAAGGGGTATTGATCACATATTTGGTAGCATACCTCATTATTGTATTTTCTGATGCTTTTCTCATCAGAGTTATGGTTTATTGGGAGAAAAAACAGAGATAAAGCCCCATTATCATAACATCATATCAAAACTATATTATCAACGTGAATTATTACTGTTGATATTGACCTTGATCACCTGGCTGAAGTAGTGTCCCAGATTTCTCCACTGGGAAATTACTCCTCCACGCCTTCAATATGCACTCGTTGGAAGTCACTATGTGGAGCTTATACCTAAGGAGTAGAGAGTTAGATCCACCTCCTGAGGGTGGAGTCTGTACATAAAGTATTTGGAGTTCTTCTGCATAGGGGAGTTGTCTATTCTCCCCCCAAATATTAATTTATTCAGTTACTTATTTATATCAGTGTAGACTCATGGATATCTATTTTACTCTTTGGATTTTAATCCAATACTACTTTGTTTTGTTGTTCTAATTGTTCCAGCTTTGGCACTGGGAGCTGTTTCCGTTGGTTCCTATAGTCCTTTAACCTACTCTTTTTGGGATATGTGTGAGAAAGCACTCTTACTTTCTGGCACTACAGGACACTCCAGGGTTACCTTGTATTATTTCCTGCCCCAGTCCTAATATCAGCCATTTCTCCAAGGAGCCCTAATTCCTTTTATTGAAAAATGTGAATAGAAACCAAGTCTGGGTTCTAGGTATGCTGATTGCTAATGGAGTATCATTTGTTTAGGCTCTCTTAACTGAGAGAGCAAAGAAATATATAAGTATACTAACCTATACATGTACGCACATCTATAAGTGTTTTGATATATAACTATCTGTATTTATATTGAGCTAAATGGGAACATACTCTTTTCTCCAACTCTAATCCATTAACACATGGGTCATTTTAGATTCCTCCCCTTGCTTATCTGTAAATTCCTTCCCCAACAGTGAGAAATGTAGCTCCCATCGTACACTGTCCATTTACTTAATTGTTCAATCCCAGTTCATGTGTACAGCAGTATCAAAATTGTTAACCCAGTCCCCCAAACTATTTTAAGTAGTTATTAAAGCCATTGTCACATTTTTCTATTTAATTAATTTAAATATTTCATTTCATCCATTTCATTCCATATATTTGTATATCACAAATTTTGTTTATAAAATATTGTAAAAACTGTATTTTAAATTGGTAATTAATTTCCTTTGAAATTCTCTATATTATATTTTATGAATTTAAAAGTGGTATTTTAAGAAGAGTTATATAGAATATCTCAGGTTATTAAAGGGATGCAGAGGTAGTAGAAAAGTTGAGGTCCCAACCATTGTGAGGTTATAATGAGATGACATGAAATTGCCCTACTGACGTTAGGGAGCGCTCATGCTTGATAAGTGTTACCCTTGCCCACCTGGGCAGGCTTCCATCTTCTTTTACAGTTCTAAGTACCTTGGAAAAGAGAACAAGCTAAACCTTACAGTTAATAATTTATAATTTAGTTGAAGAATTTGCTAGGGATCAGGTGTTGGAGGTAAAGGCTCATATAAAGTTAATGGGAGAGAGGATGAGAAAGTGAAAGGACCTAGAGGACAGAAATGACTCTGAGTTCAGTGCTTTTGCAGTTGAAGAGATCTGGGATCCTTCCATTTCCAGACTGAATTTGTCTCACTTTTGAAATGAGGACAATTGCTATTACAAATATTTGTCCTGAAGAATGAAAGTAGGCATTTTAGATTTTTCTTCGGTTAGTCTCAGGCAGTCTAGTCTAAGTATGATGACTTGGGACAGTCCCAGATATATCTTAGGTCTCTCCTGGTGCAGATTCCATTCTGCAAAGCCAGACTCACTGAAAGTATAGACAGTTTCTCCAAGCTCAGCACAAGTAACAGGCATATCAGATTGCTTTACAGCTCAGGCAGCGTGGCCCCAGACAAAACACATGTAGGAGCTGACCTTGGCCTCTACCACCCAGGAAACCCAAAGGCCGGTGCACCCAGTAGACAGCTACAGATGACATCAAAGCACCACCACCCTGCCCCTGCATAGATGATCCTCCATGGACAGAGGAGGTTGGTGGTCAGGAATGATAGTCAATCCTTTCATCTTACTGGCATCAATAAATCCCTCCCATTGATCTGCCAAAAGCAAACAAGGCTCAACTACAAGAAGAGGGTGTACTCAGCCCACACAAAGGTCACACCTTGAGTACCCAGCTTGGGTGATAGCGGAGGCTGTGCCACCGGACCCCACAGGGCACCTACTACATTAGGCCACACTACCAAGACATGGAGTCAAAACATCTCTACCTAATACATAGAAACAAACAAGGAGGCTGCCAAAATGAGGGGACAAAGAATCATGGCCCAAATGAAAGAACAGATCAAAACTGTAGAAAAAGAACTAAACAAAATGGATATACGCAATCTACCAGATGTAGAGTTCAAAACACTGTCTACAAGGATGCTCAAGGGACTTAGTGAGGACCTCAACAGTATAAAAAAGATCCAGTCAGAAATGAAGGATATACTAATTGTAATAAAGAATAATTTACAGAGAAACAACAATAAAGTGGATGAAGACAAGAATCAAAAATGATTTGGAAAATAAGGAAGTAAAAAACAACCAATCAGAACAACAAGATAAAAGAACTTAAAAAATGAGGATATTGTAAGCAGTTTCTGGGACAACTTCAAGAGGTTCAATATTCCCACCATAGGTATGCCAGAGGGGAAGAATAAGAGTAAGAAATTGGGAATATATTTGAAAAAAATAATGAAAGAAAATTCCCCTAATCTGGTGAAGGAAATAGACATGTAAACCTGGGAAGCAGAGAGAGTCCCAAACAAGATGGATGCAAAGAGGCCCACTCCAAGACACATCATAATTAAAATGCCAAAGGTTAAAGATAAAGAGGGAATCTTAGCCCTGGCTGGTATGGCTCAGTGGATTGAGTGCCACTTGAGAACCAAAAGATTACTAGTTCAATTCCCTTTCAGGGCATATGCCTGGGATGCAGGCCAGGTCCCCCACAGGGGGCTTATGAAAGGCAAC